CCAACTTTATATAAATTAATACTGAATATTTACTACAATGGTGTGTAAATATTCCCTTATTTACACATGCAGGTTCTTTTTTACTCAATTAATTCCAATACATTTTACCTTCAAACCAAACTCATTAATATCACATCTTTTGCATATAGCAATGTTACAAATAGCAATGGGATAATTCCCTTTTTCTTTTACTCTAATTTAATTGCATTTTATCATCAGTTCTGCATAATTACCATCATTATGTGGAGAGTATGAGCATTCTCTATGAAAGCCTTACCTCATAAATCAAGCTTTTACCATGACACTCAGACACTGCACTTTCTTTCGGTGTATCAAACACCTACACCTTGATGCCATGTTGTGTTGGTTATTTTCAACTTTTTAGGGTAAATCTGATGTCCGAAAACCTTGTCTAGCTGCATATGCTGTACTTGGGTAACATAGACCTATAGTATAAACCTAATCATTTTCCAAGTTTTTTGTTGGATGGTAAGAAAATATGGTTGGCATGGCAATAAGGTTTTTTATTTATCCAATATTAGTTCTAGTTAGACTGTCTGGACCTAACTTCTGGTGTTTTTTTACACAGTTTCAGCTCTCATACTTGAATCATTCTTAGATTTTAGTCCAATATTTCACCATTTCAACAAGAAAAATGACCCATAGATTGCAGGGTTAGTTAATCAATTTAATTTCTAGGCCTGGAGATGTGCAATTTTATGTTATCCATCAACTGTCATCTAGACGCACATACTATGTATAATAGCGACTTCTAGCACTATAAAAAAAAAAAAAAACATAGTATTACTCTCCCAATTTCCTTGTATTATATCTCAATAATTTATATCATTTATCTAAGAAAAAAGACTAATAAGTGGATTTCACAACTATCACTCTGCTGTTGGGGAGAACTTTGGATATTCCTCATGGTGATGGTCCAAGTGAACAGGTTTGTCAGCATATAAATCTTGACAACGAACGTGAGGATTTCACAACTATGTTCAGCAAACCTGTGAATTACTCCAACTAACCATGTGAAACTGTCTCAATTTTTTATGGGTCTCTTTACCATATGCATCAAAATGTTGATGTTGCTTCAACTCTTTTTATGCAGTACAACAATTTATCTTCAATTTTCAGAATTGCAGCATTTCCTGACTTACCATAAATCTTTGAACTGAGTGGATCAACGTTTTACAGGGAATAGATGATGATGTGATTAATTGGCTCCATGGGAATAATCTATGGCAATTGGCTCTACAACGTAACATCAGATGATTCTTTAGGCTGTTCAAATTTGTAATTGTTCATTTATTTATTTATCTTTTTGACTGACTGGAACATCTCTCTTAGAGAAACCAAGCAAATCCCAGGTGAAGATAAAGTATTTACTGGTCAAAATAATTATTTGGATAGAATTTTAATTTGCCAAATGACTATAACTGAACTATTCTCATTTTTCTTCCTGTAAAAAGAGAAAAGGCCTTATTTTCCACAAACAAAAAAGGCCTTATTTTTCTGCCCCTATTTAAAATTTTGTTCAGATAGGTACTCTAAACAAAAAAGGCTACCTTTAAAGGTCATCCCCAATATTACCTGTTACTTTCTACATTCTGGAGCAAAACCAATGTCTATTAGTTTATACCAATTGATACGTTTATTCCTTAATAGATATAGATCTCTCTTGTGGGGGAGAAAAAATCTTATTTTTATCAATCAACATTATGAAACAAAACATTCATGCATGATCGTATTTGTGTAGCAGGCAAGAAAAGATAGGCAAAAATAACATGAAGACCTAATTTTTATTGCATTGGAATAAAAGGCAGTACCAGAAGAACCCAAACGACAAGAATGGAATGAGAGGAAGATAGAAGGAGAACAATGGAATGATGATGCAATGTGATCTTCAATGAGGCTTGGCACAAAAAAGACAAGTCAACACATCAGAAATATTAGAGTTAAATATTTGTACAGAAAAAACAAAAACTTGGTTTGAAGTATAAAATTGTTGAATTTTGTATCTAATAAAAGACCTAATTTTTATTACAATTTAGCAAAAGATTTTGGGAGTAGCATAGTGCCAACAATATAATGGAACATTTATGCATTATGAAACAGAACATTCATGCATGATTGAATTTGTGAAGCAGGCAAGAAAAGCTAGGCAAAATTTATAGAAACAAAACATGAAGACCTAATTTTTATTGCAATGGAGTAAAAGGCAGTACTAGAAGAACCCAAATGACAAGAGTGGTATGAGAGGAAGATAGAATGGAAACAATGGAAGGCTAATGCAATGTGAACAGTGGAAGGCCTGGCACAAAAGAAGACAAGACAACACATCAGAAATATTAAAGTTCAATATCAGTACAGAAAAAAAAAACTTGGTTTGAAGTATAAAATTGTTGAGTTTTGTATCTAATAACAGACTTAATTTTTATTACAATGTAGCAAAATATTTTGGGAATAATAAATGTTTTATCTAATAACATGCAAACCTAATTTTTATTGCAATAGAGTAAAAGTCAGTACTAGAAAACCCCAGACAAGAACCCAAACGGCAAGAGTGGAAACAGAGGAAGATAGAAGGAGAACAATGAAAAGCAGTACCTTAAGAATAAAAAGAGAGTAGTAGAAGTGGAAAGAGAGAATGATGGTTACAATAGTATGAAGTTCATATAAGAAGGAAGTAATGTATATATAGAAAATGATCAGCAGACAAATACCATATGCCGAGGAGAAGAAATTATTATGGCTACTCACCTAGTCAACCAAACATTGACTGAAATACGAAGAGATAAACACTTTCCTAGTCGAGAATGCAAAAAAATACAGTAAAAAATCCCACTGAAATACGAAGAGATAGACACCTTACATGATTAATCCTAGTCAATCATGCAAAAAAATACAGTAAAATAATTCTTGGATGATAACTGCTGCAAATGATGGGAGGACATAATCTATTAGATTTATCATTGATAAGATCTACGAGGCAGCATGTAGTACACGTGCCCATCATGCAAAAATAATTGATTATACTTCCCTGGAAGGTCGTCGGAAAATGACATGGTCTCCTATGCAAGGTAGGCTCTCTTTTGGATTCCAAAATAGGGCCATCGAAACCTTCCTTCGAAGAGGAGACAGGCTCTCATTCAGACAACGTAAAGAGGGTCATCGAAGGTGCGTAGACAAGGAAACTCAAAAGGGAAACAGGGAAAGAGAGGGCAAAACAGGAAGGGCGGATCTTGAAGGGCAAAATAGGGCCACCAAGACCTTCCTTCGAAGAGGAGACAGGCTTTCCTTCAGTCAACAACGTAAACAGGGCCATCAAAGGTTGCCGGAATCTTGGAGGGCAAAACAGGAAGGCCACCGAAATCTTCGAAGAGGAGACGGGCTCTCCTTCGAACAATAGTGTAAAAGAGGACCATTGAAGGTCGTCAGATAGCAGCGCAGATAGGGAAACTTGAAAGGGAATCAGGGAAAGAGAAGGAAAGATAGGGAGGGCAAAACTGGAAGGTTGTCGGTGCCAAAATCTTCGAAGAAGAGATAGGCTCTCCTTCGGACAGTAGCATAAAGAGGGCCATTGAAGGTCACCGGACAACAGCGTAGACAAGGAAACTCGAAAGGGAAACAGGGAAAGGGAGGGAGCTCTCTTCGAGTTTCCCTCTTGAAATAGGAAACTCGAAAAGCTAAGGAGCTCTCTCAAAGAGGGAGCCTCAAAACCCACGTGGGACTCTTGCACGATTGGGTTGCTTTGTTTAGCTCCCATCTACACGCACGAGCTGTTTGCACGTGAGACTGCTAATATCTTCTGTGGGTGTATGGTTAGATTAACGGGGAGATATTCCCGGCTTGCACCTAAATTCTGTGTTGTTAGGGTATTTGAACAATTTTTTGTTATCAAGAAATTATTCATCGTTAGGGGTGTCAATAGTATTCGAGAATCCGATTTCAAATTCGAGATTCGACATAATCAAATCGAATTCGGATAATTTGAATATTTAATTGGTCAAATTTAGATATCTTATTTATATTGAATAGTTAGTTGGATTCGAATTCGGATATAACCTGATTCGATTTGATAAATATCGATATAATATATAAAATATTTAAATATTTTATATAATTTATATATGTGATAATTAAATTATATAAATAATTTATATACTTATATAAATTATATAAATAAAATATTTATTTTATTTATTTATTAATTACCTAAAATAATTAATCCATCAATTTCAAATTAAATCAAATTCAAATTCGAATATAATTTTTATTATCGATTGGATATTAATTGAATTTGGATATGAAATTTTCTAATCGAACTCCAATTATCTGATTCAATTCAAATTCGATCCATTTACAACCCCAGTAATTGTTGCCCATCTATTTATTTGAAACAAATATAGACACAATTGACTTACCACTTACCTACTATACAAATTGGGATCTACTCCTCATATAGCTCGTTTCACACCGACTTCACAGCCACATCCCACCTTGTAATCGGAACATCTCCTCCCCTTTGAACATAAATTCAAGGACAGAACATGTTCTCGATATGCGGCCAGGACACGCTGTGAGGTCATTGTGGGGCGCGCATTGTAAGGAGCAGATGCGGACTCCTACTATACACAGACAGAGAGAACAGAAGCTACCACTTATCTCATACTAATGTGTATACTTCACCTGAAACGGAAGCCTTTTGTCCATGATTAGTGTCTGTAATCGTTTGGTCCACCCAAAAAAGATTGCTGATCAAATCTGACGACTCTGATCCGTGGAATATACACTTAACTTATTTATTCTCACTCTCTGGGCTCCAAGTGTGAAAAGGATATCAAAAGGTATTGTCATTTTTATTTTTCCCCTTTTTTAGAGAGAAAAATAAAAAATAAACCTCGAAGAGGAAAAATGGACCAATGGGGTCCCGAGGATTGTGAGTGAAGCTTTATAGTATTAAGCGGGAAATAACACTCCACACTCCTCGGCTCTTCTCCGTTCCTTATATATCTTGACCCTCCTCCCATTCTCTCTCCTCTCTTTCTCTCTCTCTCGGCTTCTTTGCCCCCTCTCCATTTGGTTTGGGCCGGCTCTTCTCCGCGTTATCTCCTCCTTCTCTCTTCTCTTCGTCCCTATCGGGTAAGAACTAGGGCTTGTTTCTTTCTCTCGTTATTTTTTTTTTCTCTAAGTTTTGAGCTTATGGGGTCTATGATTATGATTCTCGTTTTTTCTTTGATTTCGTCGTTTTTTTTGTGTTCTCTAGGGTTTCTGATGCTGCTAGATTTGTTTCTCATGCTTTTTTGATTGAAATTGCTTGTTGGGTTCATTTCTCACTAGTTCTTTGATTTAATGTGCAATCCTTGTTGGTGTCGTTGTTTGTATCTGAACTGCTGCGAGCTTCCGATTTTCTCGTGGTTTTCATTTTGTCCAGTGATTTTAGGGTTTCTTTTTTCCGAGAGTGTCTTCAATTTTGAGCTAGATGGGTTACTTGGTTGTTTGCTACTTTGCTTTGTGGATTAAGGGGCGCATGTGTTTCTATTGTTGATGGTCTTTCATCACTGCTTTGTTTCTTAGGTGCTTGTGTTTTTTATTGATCAATCTAAATTGCAGTGAATATCAGCGTGTGTGAGGTTTTATTTTATGGTTTTAAGGGGTTTTGTTTCTTTTACTCAACAAATGTGTGGGCTTTGTTTTTTTATTGTTGCTTCAGGCTTGTGATTTTTCCTGGGGTCCTGCGTGGTAGTTTTGTTTTAATCTTTTGAAATGTTTGTCATGTTTATTATTTCGAAGCTAATAATGTCAAAAACAGGGTTCACCTTGCACGTCAAATGTCTGTTGATCTCAGCGTCAGATTTGCATGGTTTCTTGACTGTGATTTCAGTTTCATGAACCGGGGCAGGTTGTGGTGTTGTCTACGATTCTTGTTTCGACACTGGACTTGACAGATATTGAAGGTTTTGTGACAATGGTTGCTTGAAGTTAATTATTTTGATTCTGGGTTGGTGGATGTTTTTAATGTGTTTGTTGGAATTTTGAGGTAAAAAAGAAGGGAAGAGGTTTGTTGCTGCAGAAGGTAGGAAACAATTCTGTGTTCTTTTTTAGCGTTTCAAAGCAAGGGGTATACTGTAATATTGAGGTTTTCAAGTAGTGAAGTATTCTGTGGGGAGTTTGATGGCCAGAGCATCCCTCCCGCCTGGCTTTCGATTTCATCCTACTGATGTTGAGCTGGTGAAATATTATCTCAAGAGGAAGGTCCTAGGAAAACCACTGATTCAAGCAATTTCAGAGATAGATATATACAAGTTTTCTCCTTGGGATCTGCCAGGTACATATGTATTCCTTCTGTTTTTTAATATGTATGTATGTATGTATATGTGTGTGTGTGTGTGTGTATACACACATGCCTAGGTCATTGGCTTGATGTTGATGAAATTATACTGCGAAGAATGAAGATTCTCTGTCATACATGCATGTTTTTGACAATTGCATTGATGCTTCTGTTGTTTTCTAGCTGAATGGTTCATATGTTTTGGTTCTTAACTAAATGATTTATAGCTTTCAGCTTCCACACCCATCTATTTCAGTTGTAAACTTTTAATTATTATTTTTATGCCATTTTCCCAATCCTTTTTAGTGATGTTCATGCCAATCAATTTTTAGTTGTTTCCAGTAAGTGTTTGTTTCTTATTGGATGTATTTCCTTTCCCCCTTTTTTGTACAGAGAAATCGTGCTTGAAAAGCAGGGATCTGGAGTGGTATTTCTTTTGCCCCAGAGATAAGAAATATGCAAATGGACCAAGGACAAATCGTGCTACTGAGATTGGATATTGGAAAACCACAGGGAAGGATAGAGCCATCTGCCATAATTCACAAATAGTTGGGATGAAAAAGACTCTGATTTTTCACACAGGTCGTGCACCCCGGGGAAATAGAACAGATTGGGTGATGCACGAATACAGACTTGAAGATAGGGATCTGGTTAATGCAGGCATTTCTCAGGTACATCCTTGTTCTTTTAGGGCTTAGTTTTGGCCCAGTGATCTTTGCTTATAGATAGCTATATATTACAATGTATGGTCATACTATTGTTCCATTTATGTGTGAATTATTGTTAAATGAGTCCACCAGAAGGAAGGAGTTTTAGCATTATTTTGATTTAGGATTTATCTCTTTTTTGATCAATGGCAGAGGAATTTCATTAATTACTGAAACAAGTACAGAGGAACACCATAGAGAGAGATAAGCTCTCTTAACTCACTCTGAGATGACCACTGAAATTACAAATTACAAGTTACCACACAGCCCAAAAAGTTGACCCCTTGCTTAGCCAAAACATCAGCAAAAGCTTTTGCACTCTTTTTACCCACTGTAGCTTAACTTCCATATTTTGTGTAATACACTTAAACTTTGATTTTTTTGATCAATAACACAATTCATTAGAAAATCTCAATAATAATTACAAAGAGGAAGACAAACTTTCTTATCTTCCAACTACAGCTTGAGCCCCAAGAAAGGAAAAAAAGAGAAAAAAAGAAAGAGAAGGAGAAATAGAAAAAAATAAAATTACAACTGTGCCCAAAACATTGACTCCCTCTCCACCCCTTGTTTAGCTAACCCATCAGCAAAAGAATTAGTTGATCTTTTTACCCAACTCATTTTAACTACCATTTCTCGAACCAGCCATCTAAGTTTCCTCCTCACATTGCTGTAATTCCATAATCCACCGTTGTCTTTATTCAGCCATCCTACCACCACCTCCGAATCCCCTTTAATTATGAGTTTTCTGATATTGTCTCCCTAGCTTTCTGGATTCCTTCCATAATTGCATGGATCTTGGCTTTGAGAGAGTCACCCACTCCAATTGGGTCTAAGAACATGGCAAAAACAACCCCATTCTCATCCCTGAAAACACCCCCAATCCCTGATTGTCCAGGATTCCCTCTACAACTCCCATCAAAGTTTAGTTTTATGAAACCCGTAGGTGGGGGGGTCCATGACACACTCATCACTGTTTTGGTCTGGGTAAGTTAGCAATCTCACCCCACTTCCTCAACATGTCATCTACTGTATAATCTGGTGAATAGCTCTAGGGATTTCATCCACTGTACGATCCTTATAAGGATCAGCGTCCGCAGTTCTTCAACACCTCTCTCTTCCCATAAGGACCAACATACCGTAACCCTCAGTCCTCTCCACATAGTCCTTCCCCTTTTCATACGCCACCTGAAAAAAGAAGGGGAAAATAGATTTTGCAAATTTGATGGAGGGTTCCAACTACACCCAAAGAGGGAGAAAGCCCACTCCCAAATAGACTTTGCAAATTGGCAAGACACTAGTAGATGAAAACCAGTCTCCCCGTCAGCTTTACAAAGAACACATCAGTGAGGGGACAAACTAATATTGGGTCTCTTCTTTTGGAGCAGATCGCCAGTGTTGATTCTTTCTAGAAAGGCTTCCCAACAAAAACTACCAACCCTATGAGGATATGGTTTGCACAAAACCTCATTAACAAGGAAAGGAAGGGCTACAGGACTGGTGGACTGGCTTAAGACTTTGAAGAAAGAGGCACAGGAGAATGAACCAGTGGGGGTGGGGGTCCAGATTCTAGAGTCCACCTTAGCAGGGTCTAAGAAAATTGTCAAGAAGCTGAAAGAGATTCGAAATGCTGTCAAGGTCTGAGTCTCTCACAGCCTTTCTCAAGTCCAAATTCCACCCAAACCCAGAAATGGAAGAGGAAGGGGTAATGAAAGAGGAAACTGGTCCTTAGAGGGGCATTCCCCACCCAAGTTCCCAGAATTTTATGGAATTACTTGAATTCAAATCATACCTGATAAGAGGGGAAAAACTGCTAACAACTCATGGATGGCTTTCCAAGGTGAAGCACTTGTAGTCCTAGCTCGGATTCCAGCATCCCATCCAGAAGGGCCCATAATTTCTCCTTCTCTAGTGGGAATCTCCACAACCATTTCTCTAGAAGGGCCAAATTCCTTTTTCTAATGTTCCCGAGTCCCAAACCACCACTATTTTTACTCCTAGTCATCACCTCTCAGCTTACTCTATGGTCCCTCATCTCTTCTCCCGGGTCCCAAAGGAAATCTCTCATCATCTTTTCCAATCTGTTAGAAACCTTCACTGCGATTTTGTTTTTTCATTAGCAAAATTCCACCAACCAATCTCCTCTTTTTGTAGCCATCTTACTAGTAACTTTTGTCCCCTTCTCTATGATCAACTTACTGATGTTCGGCTCTTTTGCCTTTTGAATTCCTTCCATTACAACCATGATTTTAGCCCTCAATGAATCACCTATGCCTATTGGCCCTGAGTAGAAAGCAATAATTCTTCCCTCATTCTGGAACACTCTTCCAATGCCTGAAGGGCCTAGATTCCCCTCACTACTACCATCAACGTTCAATGTGATAAACCCATAAGGAGGTAGGAGCCAAGTTGACCTGATGACAGCTTTTGAAAAAGAGGAATCGCCTACCTCTTTCCACTCTCTAAGCAAGTCATCAGTAGAAACACCTTCAAAGCTGCTCAAAGTCTTTACCCATTGGATCACTCTTATGGTAATGGTATCAATTATTGGTTCATTACTCCTTCTGAGAAGGCTCTTTGGTTTCTTTCTTCCCAAACCGTCCAGCACACAACTGCCCTTGTAATGCAATGCCTTCAATCATGAACACAAAGGTGATGTGATGATGATTAAAAAATCTGTTCTTTTGGGTTGATTGAATTAAACTTAGCATACATGCAATTATCAGTATAAAGTTTCTTTGGTGCCTGGGTTCTTTTCTCATTAATAGCTGTTCTTTTCTAGTTCATGAGCTTGTAATTGCAGCAGGTGTGGAGTACAGAGAAATTCATCTCATCATGATTGAGGGTTTGGGAATAATGTTACATGATGTGTGGGATATTAGAATTTGCTAACTTGGACTCAACTGCAGTCATTTTATGTGTGTTTCTGCCTTTCAGGAACTAGCTTGGATTATGTATCCTTGCTAGTATTTTTTGGTTGTCACCATAACTGGTATTTAATGGTTGTCTTGCTTGATCTAATATGCTAAACGAATACTTGATTTATTTCTCTATATGACTATGCTAATCTACTAAAGCATTTGAAGGTGTACATGATTTATTTTTCTATATTCTGTACTTGTTTAGTGTTTTATGTTGGGAATAACATCTTTGCTGTTCATTTGGTTCTTTCCTTGAAATTTTTTAATGGTGTGTACCTAGAACATTAATTGTGACTACTGTAGATAAAACTTTGATATTATAAAATCATTTTTTCCTGAAATTCCATTGTAATTTTTTTGGCTATCAAACAAGAAGTTCTTTTTCATATTTTACAGTCCTTAACTTCTGCCCAATTATGTATTCTGTTTTTTTGGCATTAAATCTTACTTTTGAACACCTCTTTTTGAGAATTTAATCAACGTTATCAAAGCACTGATTAGTTACCCACCAGTCAACCAACTGGTGTGCTGCAACTAGTGTGCTGTTACTATTTTTAACTAGTTGGTTGATACCCATGATGTGGTTGCCTAGGAGCTTTAAGCAAAGCCTAGGTTGACTAATAAGAAGTTGGACTATTTGGGGAAAAAAAGGAATGGGAGGATTTTCAATGAAAAGTGTAGATCTGAGTTGGAAATCATAGAAACCATTAAGATAAAAGTTGCACATTGGGTAAAAACCTTGGAAATCTTCTATGGTTACTCCTTCAATGACATTTTGAGAGCATGGAAGTGGCAAACTTGGCTCAAGGGGGAAAAAGGTTATGGAATGGAGACTCCCAACACCTAATGCTGTGAAACTAAATTTTGATGGAAGCTTTTTGGGAAATGAAGGAAGATCTGGTTTAGGGGGCGTATTTTGAGGTACAGAAGGTGAGACACTAGCACTTTATTTGGGTCATGTAGAGCAAGGAGATCCACTGACAGCAGAATTAATGGCTCTGCTTCAAGGGCTGAAACTTGCAAAACAGTTTGTCTTTCAAAGGTTAGAAGTGGAAGGGGACTCTCAGGTAGTTATTTCCTGGACAAAATTTCACAGCCAAACCCCTTGGGTTTACAGGCAAAGGATTGGGGAAGTTGAAAAGTAAACAAGGGAATTGAGTGTTAATTTTAAATGGGTGAGAAGAACTGCAAATGGCATTGCAGATGCTTTATTCCTATGGATGGTTTTTGGGGGCTCCAATTCTAGTTGTATTTGTTTATTCCTATGGATGTGGGTAGATTACCCATGGAATTGTGAACTCAAGTTTCGTATAATGCTTAATGAAATTTACCTTTGCTGATAAAAAAAAAGAAATTGTTCCTGTTGTTAGGTCTTCTTTTGAGTACCTCTCCCATGGCCTGTATAGAGGGGGACCAACATAGGGTAATAACCTTTTCTTTATTTGTTTCTATTTACCGCTAAAATGTTTAGAATTAATACCTTATGTGCTTTTATTTTATTATATGTACACTAGTAAAGTATTGTCATATGGTATGATGATTGAAAATCCACTTACAGATCAACTTTGATATTATGGAGTTCATTCTTTATCATATTTCACAATACTAATCCTGAGCTGATTGTATATTCTGTTATTTTGCTATTCGATTTTAATTTTGAGCAACTCTTTTCTGAGAATTTAAATACTTAATTCTCTTTGGCACAAAGTATTTTAGCGGATGAGTGATTAGTCACCAAGGGGCTTGCTCCCTATTTGAGAACTTACATTAAAAGATAAATCAATAATTGATTCAGTTTATCCAGTTCAGTCACTATTATACAGTCTACAAGTCCTTTATGTGTTATGAATTTGTAGTCTGGTGAAATAATATATTCGTGCATTCGACGTGTGTGTGTAGTGCATTGGTTTTGTGATGCAGTTGTTTTTTTTCTTTTCTTTTTAATGCATAATTGCTAAAAGATTTTAGACCCTATTTGGCTTTTTATGGTGCAGGGTGCATATGTACTTTGCAAAATCTTTCAGAAGAGTGGTATAGGCCCAAAAAATGGCGAACAATATGGAGCACCATTTAAAGAGGAAGACTGGGATGATGATGTGGTAAATGAACCTTTCTCTGCTCCTACTGCTGAACCTGGTTCTTCATCTGGTTTACAAGCTGATGATCTAAATGCTTCCATTATGCCTGGGAGTGTGTGTGAGTCTTCGTTGGAGCCTATTCCGTGTCAAGCTGTGCCTTCTATTAACAATGTGGAACATTTTTTGCCTGAGAGTGATGATATTTCTTCTTTACTGGCAATGTTTGGCAATGAAGATGATGCTTTATTTTCTGCTGACCATGATAAAAATGAGGTAATATTGATTAGGTTGATTATCTGGGTAAATAATATATTATAGTGTATCCACATTGCCTATGATTGGGTTGCTAATTGCCTTCTCAACAAAATGCATAAAAAATGATTGGGTTGCTAATTTTGTGGGATATGTAAAAATTCTGTAGTTTGTATTTGTTATTTTATTGACCTCTTGTTGGCTATGCTAGATCTTAGATGCTGTTGTGTTGACTATCAAATGCAGCCATCTGAGGATTGGAATTCTTGAATGTGTGTTCAGATTTGTTCTGTACTGAAGCATGTCCCACTTTCTGAAAGTTAACTCTAATTCAGAATGACATGTACATTTATTTAACATGTTCTGGCTTTTCAATTAACAAAGCTGTTTCAGATGAAGCAAAATGGACAGGTTGTGATCTGGTAATACATGAAAACTTGGACAGTAGGTTACTAGCTAGCAGAGTCCAATAGCACATTCTGTGTTTTACAATCGAGTTCTCAATCCAGCAAACATTAAATAAAATAATTCTTGAAGACTTGAATATTACTTGAGAACCTGGTGAATGCTGTTAGATATTTAAGAATTCATGAAATCAAGGCAGTACCTGTTAGATGTCAACTTATAATAAAGAACTAAAAGCATCCTTTACTGGTTTGCATGATCCCACTTGTATAAGCTGTTGAAAACATTAGGGGCGGCCTCAGTAACAGCCCTTTAAGTTCAGTTTGGGAAACAAATACAAATGTGTAGAGTACAAAACCTTGTATTTTGTAGTATTTTGTATGTATTTGAACTGTACATATTTGTATTTGTACTCTTTCCAAACTGAGCCTTAATATTTGGCAGAATGAGTGCCTATATGAAACTTCTTCTGGGATGATTTATTATATAGATTCTTTATTTATTTATTCAAATATTTTTTATGAACTATAACATTGTTATCACCTAGGTAATATGTGCATTGCATGTGAAATTAGGCAGGGGACCAAATGGCATTTGTTTTCCTTTGCTGGGGAGGGATGGAAGGGTTATGTAATTGTATAGTTGAGATGCCAGTTACTTAACCAGCTATGGTTATAAGCGTAATAATTGGGAATTGCAAACTTGTTTGCATGAAAACCTTTGTGGTTACTTAACCCCTTTATCCATCTGTTTTTGGTTTTATAAGACTGCCTTCCTGAAGATTTAGCATTCCTTTCTTCACTAAAAAAATTATTTGTGTACTTCTAGGCTACGAGTAAAATTTTGCTTGTACAGTAATGTTGAACTTTACATTTTACTTAATTTGCCTACAGAATTTGCAATCATATAATGTCAATGAATCGACTCATTTGGAAGGGAATGGGATTTTTAATGCGTTGGAGGATATCATAACCTTGGAAGATCTGAATAGATCCCATTTACCCCTTAGCAGTTCAGAAGCTGAATGTCCTCTGGATCAATCCTTTTTGGAGTTGAAAGATCTGGAGCATCCACTAGCAGCAGATCCTTGTGTGGTTAATGGTGCTGAGCAATTTCCAACTGTTGATCCATTCATCTACTATGGCAATTATGATAACTTAGAAGGATTCTGTGGTTCAGTTCTTCCTTTGGATGTTGTTCTTTCTACTCCTGGGGTAAGTATGCTTGTTCTACATAACTGGAATACTTTTCTGTTGAAGATTATTTGGGTCTATTTTTTTGAAGGTTAGTTTCTTGTCTGTTTCTATGCATGTTATGGTACTCCAATTCATTGGTCCATGTTTTTTTCATCTTTATGTGTTATTTTATTTTTGCACTCATTTAAATGCCATGACATCTAATCCAGGACAATGGTGTTGGTGGAAATAGTGCAGCATATGAGGCTGATATATGTGACCCTACTGCTCCAAGTGAAAATGCAGAAGATAGAGAGAAGCAATATGCCACACAGGCCTTGGCAAGAGGTAGCTTTCATTATCCTCAATGATGCCAGGAACCAGCATTCTTATTATGATTCTTGAACTTTTTCAATCTATTTTGAGGAAAAAAGGAAATAAATGAGGGAGAAAGTTGAGATAAACAGCAGATGTGGCCTTAATATTATTAATTTTCTTTTTCATTCTTGAAGATAGTTTTGCCATGAAGATTTGCAGTTAAAACTAAACTGACTGCAACCCTATGAGAAAAATCTTCAGTATTTCTGCTTTTCTTGATCCCTTAGCTTGTTCTTGTGTAAACTCTGGGATTCAGGTTCTGCGGCCTCTGTTTTGTTCTAAAGGCAGCAGAGAATGTAGCAGGTTTTTCTGCAGGTTTAATTGTTTTCCTGAAAAAGTTCCACACTAAAATTTTCATCATTTCATCCTCGCTGTAATGTTTCGTCCCAGGTGAACAAAGAGCATCATCCTATTCCAGGCTCCAATGTCTGTTAGACAACATCCCCGCTCATCCTGCCTCAGCCGCAGAACACCCGTCACCTACCAGCAGAGAAAATCGAGCCACAAGCATTAGTCTCTCATCTTCATATGGTGGCTCCTCCATCCATGTCAAGGCCAAGGTGACTGCTGGGTGTGCGTGCACTAAAGACACTCCATCAGACAAGTTGGGGGAGTTTCCTTGTATTTGTTGCTATGGCTACAACCTATCGAGGAAGGAGTTTAGGGAACAAGCGGCTAATCGTGGCAATGGGCTCACATTTGTTTTCTTCTTGGGAATGGTCTCAGCCTTGATCTGGCTTTCTCTTTTTGTAGTCAGTGTTAAACTTGGGAAATATGTATGGGGGCTGATTCTCTCATAGTTTTTTCTGTTGGTTTGCGCTATCTTCATTCAGCTATCTATTAATTAGAATTTCATTCATATATGAAATCTGTAAGGTTATCAAGGTTTTTATTTATTACTCAAGGAGAGACTAATCCAATGTTTTTCGTAACTTTTTATGCTTTGAATTTAGGCTGTGTTTTATTCCATGAAACTCTTTATGCTTTGAATTTAGGTTTGTGGGTGTGGGGTTGCAGTGTTTTATTCCATGAAACTCTTTGACCTTTAGGCTGTGTTTGGTTGCAGTGCAAATAAATTTGCACTGATGCAAAACCATGGCATTGCAAATGATTTGAATTTAAATTCTGACCCATTTTTTTTTATCAAATTTTAGCTATTTTGTTTGGTTTCTGTATAAATGAGTAAAATCTAAAACAAAATTAAACGAGATTTTGCATTTTTTACATTTGCACTCCATGCAATTGTATTAGTGCAAATAAAATTGCACTGCAACCAAACACAGCCTTGAGAGCTTTATGTTCAGGTTGAATTGATAACCCAACTACTGTTGTTATTACCAGGGTAAAGTTGGATATTTGTAACTAATTGTTTAAAGCATTTGGTGTTTGGTTAATAAAATGTGCTGTCATTTGAAAAGGAGTTTGAATCCCCTCGTCACAAAGCGTTACTCACACTGACCTCACGGCACATTTCAGCCATGCATCTGGAACATCTCCATAATTGCAAGTTTTTATTTATGGGGAGATATTCCTATTGGAAGGCTGAAATGTGCTGTGAAGTCGGTGTGAGGCGCATTTTGTGAAGAGCATATCCGAACTCTTAAAAAAATTGTAAATCATAGGATGAAAAGGCCCTGTTTGGTTCACTTCCAGAAACTCATCTCTGAGGATAGGGAGTGGCTCATGTCTCCAATGTATGGTGTTTTATTCTTGCTAAATAAAAAAGAAACTAACTACCAACCTACTCAGATTTTAACCAAATGGGAGGTCGATTACATATCGACAGGCAGGTCGGTTTAACCATAACCTTATTAAGGGCCTGTTTTGTTAATTGGTTTACAGTCGAAGTCGGAATCGTTTGGTTAATTGATTCAGCTGGAATGGGATTTCATTTCTAGGGGAGGGGTGGCCATTCCCTCAAAAGGTCTGTCCAACCAAATAGTTGAATAGGAATGGGCTATATGGTCGATTTTGATTTGGATTCATGCGAACCAAATAGGCCCTAAGAAGGTATTAGTGAGTGGCACTCTGAAAGTTCAGGGTGGGAATTTGAAGTATCGTATGTATTTGTCCCCAAAGAAGGTTTTATATATCATCAGTCTGTAATGTTCATGGTATTAGAAATGCAGAATCAGAATTGGAAAGATAATTTTGATAAACATGTCAAATGCATGGATACGCAAGATCAAATAAATCCATAAAAAACAGTAACCTTAATATATTTGTGAAATTTATTCTTTAGTAGTTTATGTGAAGTGTGATGAGAAACAATGGAAATTGATATTAATACTTTAACTCGTTAATTTAAATAATCAATTATTTTTCAAATTAATTGCCTTAAGAAGGGAAAATGTTTGAGAGTTAATATGTAGAGCATTTATGCATAACAAGTACTTGAAGCGTGTGTTCATTTATGTAGAGCCCATATATATATATATATATATATATATATATAAAACAAAGCAGTCAATTTTTTTTTTCATTTTTTTGATTTTTTTTTATTGTGTCATTTTTGAAACAACCAATGAGATGTACTTTCCCAATAAACAAAATAATCTCTTCTCCTAAAATTTTTCCTAAACTATCTCCCCCACTATCCCTCACTTTCTCCAAAATTATCTCTAATTCCTATTTATCCTATCCCCTACTTTTTATCTATATCTATGTAAATAAAATTTAGATTAAAAAATTAAGAATTATTCAAATATTCTAACAAAATTATATAATAACTTTAAAATATTTATTAAAAACACAAAAATAATTTTATATTTTTACAAAATATATCACAAAATTATGTACTAACACTTTAAATTATGTTTTTTTTTTCGGATTATCAATTTAAATGTTTCTAAAATATTTAATAATATGTAATAGCTTTAAATAAATAAAATTAAAATATTTTGTAGATTATTTAAATATTTAATTAACTAAATATTTATCATAACTAGATTTTAAATAGTTAAAATAACGAAATTATGTAATAAATTTAAAAAAATTCTTCAAAGTAGAAAATCATTATAACATAATATTGAAACTAATAATAATTTAATATATTACAAAATTTCATTATGTAATAATAGTATAAATTATGATTTTATGGATAATTAAATTCAATAAATAATTAATATTTTAAAATTTAAATATATTATTTAGGTATTTAATTAACTAAATATTTTAAATAACAAAATATTTAACATAACTAGATTTTAAATAGTTAAAATAAATAAATTATGTAATAAATTAAAAAAAAATCTAAAATGTTGAAAAATTATTATAACATAATATTGAAATAATAATTTAATGTTTTTACATAATGTTGTAAATAATTCATTTCACTTATATCAAGTAATAGTTTGAGAAAATAAATTTCAAAAAAATTAATATTTATTAATAATAATTTTAAACTCTTAATCTGTATTTATTATATAAATATATATACTAAAATTAATATTTATAGTATTTTGTGATAAATGTATTTTCAATGATTATGTATAAATTTATTTTATTTTGTTATTTAAGAGAAAATTTTCAACAATTA